ATCAGTAACATATTTCATATAGACTTTCCACTCATGGACACTTGGTTGATGAACTGTATCTGCATGGCTGATTATACAATACATTATTACGTATAAATGCAAATGGTGAGAAACCGATCATTTCACTGAAACACAGATGGTACTAAATAAACTACAATATAAAATAACTGCATAACTAGCTATTCCCCAGAGAAGTTATACCTTGGAAGAAACTTTGCTCTGGTTTAACATGTTACTGAATGCTCAGCAGGTGGATGCTGCACGTTGGTGGTGGTGGAGGGGAGTCCCCATTACCTGTAAAGCGCTTTGATTGGAGTGTCCAGAAAAGCGCTATATAAGTGTAAGCAATTATTATTATTATTATTATTATTATTTATGTGCAGAAGACCCTGGTGTGCCTGGCCTACCCTTTTTTCGAGGTAATCACTGATTATACAGATAAGACCAAAACAAGCAAAACACCACTTTTAGGAATCTGAGAGACAGTATGTTCTAAGGGGACAATGTCTCCGCAATTTGCCATGCAGCTAAGTTCTCACCAGAACATGTGAACTCCACACAGAAGACTCCTCAGTCCACCAACAAAACCCAGGATCCAAGTGCTAAGTGACAGCACAGCTAACATCAGCACACAAAGTGAAGCAATGCGGTGTGAAAGCTAATCTTTCTGTTAAAGTTGTTTTTTGAATTACAAAAGCAGAGCATGACATCTCTGTTTTCACTGTTAAGAACTGCAGTTTAACCCATCCAAACTAATAGCAGTAACAATCCTACAATTTTAATACTACAGAAATAATACTTAATACTACTTACATAAACAACCCGGTTGCATTAATTGGCCACTGCATTTGGCATGTCTCTCTGAAATGTTACGTAAGAGCCAAAAAAGAGACAAGATTTCAAACTGCTGAAGAGGAGATTACAATGTATTGTAAACAATAATGGTAACGTTTTATTATATTATTGGTTAGGGAGTAGGAAACTTTGCTCTTTTCAAACATTCCTTGCTAAGTTAGAATGAATTTGAACAGTAAAGAAGGCTGAATGAGGCGTACTCAAGTCTGGTAATACGAATTCTGCAGGCATGAGACGTTAATACAAGCTTTAGCTTTGATTTGGAAAAGAAAAACATAGATTGCACCTCAAACGCACAGTAAGGAAAGATAAAAACCAAACACAATTTGGTCTTAGGACTATTTTAGTACTTCAAGAACACAGTCTGGAAACAAAGGCTGAATCCAAGTATAAACGCATGCGTTCGATAATATCCATTGTGTTTACTATAACCAGAACATGGAATTTCTTAAGAAAGGTCACATTGCCTGATTAAATGAACATCCACTATTGGACTAAAATGATTATTTTTTTTAAAAACAACCTAGAATGACTGCAGCCAGTAATACATTTTGTATTAATACCAAATGTATCGCTACAGTAACCATGGATATTAGGCAGCCATTAATTGTAACTATAAGCAGCCAATCCAAATTGAGAAGGTGCCAGCTGTCTTGAGGGAAAAATCAGGCCACTGGCCAATCAAGGAGAGACAGCACCTGCAAGCAGCGACTACGTTTGCTTCAGGTCAGCTCTTGTCGTTTGTTCAAGGTCACCCACTAGGCGACCCCGGCGATGTTTTGCCCTGTCACCCAAGCGGCTCGACCCTGCAGCTCACCTTCCACAGCGAAGGCTTCGTAAAGGGCTTCATTCTCGGAGCTGTCCCTCTTCCTCAGCGGCATGACAGCCCCCCCCTGCCTCTCTCGCTTGCATTCTGTCGCGCCCACCCAACGTGCCCCCCCGCCCCGCACAGCCTACACCGTTAACCACACCTCGCGGCGGTTTCCAAGTCCAAATCCGCACAGCCTAGCGCATAGCTCCACAAACCCCCTTTCTATATTTACATCCTCTCAGCTACAGCCTACTTCTGAGCCAATCAGAGATCAGCATGCCTCTCAGTGACGGTTCTCGCAGAACTGGACACAACTGTCAAAACCAGCACCCTGTATTTGCGCCAATAATTAAAACTACTGCACATCCAAGCTGAAAAACAATATTCATCTACCTGTCACTCCATGATTTGTTTGTCCCCACTGTCTTTGATAAAGTAAGTGTCCCACTTCAGGAAAAAAAAAAAAAAGTCTCCCTTTGCCCTTCCCCTCTCTCTGTTGTTTCCTCTTTCATGTCTGGCGCTGATCTCCCGAGGCGAATTTTATTTAAAGCAGAACGCTTTAGGTCTGCAGCCAGCCCCAACCACACCAGCAAAATAATCCCTGGTGCTTAGTGAGCAGGATGTCCAAGGAAATAAAGATTTCCTGATTTCTGGTGTTGCTAACACTACCAAAACTTGAAATGTATTACTACAGTCCTTACTGGATGTCAGACATCACTCGCTGTACAGTAAGTACACAAGCAAACAAGGAGCACATCTCCTAGTACACATCATAAACAACAAAGATTTTTATGTTGTTTCAGATTCCGATGTCTTAGATGTTATAGGCGGGACACATTATCCAGTCTTTTCTCTTTATTGA